GGGTCGACAATCATCGACTGAGGGGTTTGAATATTTGGTTCATCTACCGTCTCAAGGTGTGACGTTCGCATATTTGTGGTTTTCAAGTCTAACATCTTCATCTTCATCCGTAGTACTCTTTGTTATCATCTTCTGTGGTACAAAAGCGATACTGAAGACTGTAAGTCGAATGTGGAAATGAAAACTTTCATCACTTATGGAAGAAGTCTCACACGCAACCATCATTTTAGTTTCACCACGCTCTTTCCATGGGATTTCCCAGTGCCGTTTCCAATGCCTTTTCCAGTGCCTTTTTCACTTTCGCATGGCCCTGCCAGCAAGAATCAATTTTTGGTAAGTTTCTTTGAGCAAAAGACAAGGTTTCTCTCTTTTTGTATAAGAAGTGAGTCACATAGCAAAATCAGTGGCAGGCGCACGCAAACTTCGAAAAGGCATTGGAAAAGGCACTGGAAAGGCACTGAGAAAGTGCATGTCAACGTAACAGAACAGTAGTCGCCGTGCACACCCAGTACCGTAGATGGACGAAATATTCAATCCACTTCAAACCACTTGGACCCCTTCTACCCCAAAACTCAAAGTTAGTGAGCCTGCCAGAGTCTTTCGGCGAATGGACGAAACAAATCAAACCCTGGCAACACAAATTCAATGATGTCGTGTTCAACATTGACCTTTGGGGGTCGACAATCATCGACTGAGGGGTTTGAATATTTGGTTCATCTACTGTAGTATGTATGCCTTCGGAAATGAGGGTCTCGGAGTCCACCCCAAGAACGCCCTGCGAAGCTGGACGGTCCCATCGAATGGAACGGGGGAACCTGCGAGTTTTGTACTGAAAATCACCTATAAGGACTACAACCACCATTAATTCAATCAAACGTTTGAATCCTGAACAACCAAGGGTTACTAGACAAAGCCAGGATCGACCAATATCGACCAATTTTTAAAGTGAAGTAATTAGTAATATTCATGACTCGAAGGCTAGGGTGTAGATTCCAGTGGTGTTTTCCAGCAAAATGAGCCTGGAGCCTCCATCTCTTTCAGATGACCGACCTGAGCTCCTAAGGACATCAACCCCCACGAGCTCAAAAGGGTGGATGATAATTCCGAACGGCGCCCCGGCCGAGCGGTCTGGGCCCAGACTGGGGCCTCCGTCCAGAAGGGCTCGAAGGGGCAGAATTGCTCCTGCAGAAGGTGGGTACTGGCGGCCTCCTCGGGGTTCGGAGGGTTCGCCAAAAACACTAAAAAAAAACCAATTGAACGAGTGTTGTGGGCGCGATCTGCTGTGGAGGGCTGTGAGTATTTTGTTGTGAGGGTTGGTTTGGAGGGCGGTGGAGCTCAAGCTGCAAAGGTGAGGGTTGTTTGAAACATGTTCGAATAGTCTTTTCATGAAGAATGCGGGTGTGTATGATTGTGTATCAGAAGAGACCCCCGTGGCTGAACTCGGTGCAGTGCCGACAAGGGATTCAGTCATGCACCCCTGTGATTCGTCATGCTTTACCCTCTGATCAGAATCTTTGGGGGGGGTAGCCCCATTGAGTTCAAGATTTGTTGAGGTGCAATGGCAGTGATTTTGTTACATGGGTGATCTCATTCAGCTAACCAGCACCTTCAAAGGGGTCACCTGGCTGGAAGCCCGTTACACTACCATTCCGGAACCTCCAGACAGGACACCCCGACAGGAAGTGCTAGGAATGGAGCGGACAGACTGAAAATCATTCGGTGCGCGGTGGTGGGAGTGGGAATATCCCCATTTGGTGCGCTGTCGTGTTTGATGTGTTTGGTCCATTTGTCTCCTGACGGTGTTTTCCTTCCCATCATGAAACGCCATGAAACGACTAGGTGACTAGGCATCCTTCCTCATCAATGAAGAGACTAGTCGACTATTCCCTATACTTGGGGGCCCGGATTTTCACCTGAGATGCTGCCAGGATTCTAGACCTTCTGGAAATGTTCGATAACACCCAGTGTGGCTATGAAAAAGCATCCGAAAGGGACGAAAGGGCCGGGCCAGCCATTTGGCTGCGACCCTTGGACCCTGGGATATGTCTTGGGACCGTTGGGACATGTTGGGACTCAGGTTTGAGCTGGTTTTCATCATGAAGATGTACTGGCTGCCTGGGCATGTTTGGAACGATTTGGACCTGACGTACCGCAACGATTTGGATGATGTTTTCGGTGGTGACAAGTACCTGGACATAGCAGAAGAGTCGAAGAGTCACTGACGGTTGTTGTAGTGTTCATGAACTGAGGGATCGAGAAGAATCTACAGCATGACTCCAGCTTGCATTTGGCCGTTCTTTCTGTCAGAGGCCCGCACTCACTTCAATCCCACATTGGGTCGCCCTGTTTGGTCGCTCGATGTTGGCACCGGACGGGTCCACCGGTCGGCCGGTGCGACCCATGGCGCACAAACCAACCCTTAAGCCCGAGTTGAAGTGGTTGAACTCGGAATCCATTTCTTCCACCCAAGTCGCCCTCTCCGAGGTTGGATCCCTTGCTCCACAGCTTCCCCACGAAGCTCATTCGCCGGCGTCCCGAGCCGCAGCTGAAGCCTTTTGAGCCGCCTTTACAGGTGAGCAGCGGGTGGGGGGGTTTAATGTCCGGAAATAGGAATGGAAGCGGAAAAGAGAGGCCTAGAGTCCTAGAGAGTGCAGTTGACTGGTGAAGATCCTGGTTTGCAATCGTAATCATTGTAATCATGATACAATTAACGGTTAACAGTTTGTTATTCAATAATGTTCAAGATGCTTTGCAGGAAGTGGAGGGTATCGTGCGGCGGAAGTACAAGAATGGAGACCTCCTCTTCGTCGAGAAGGAAGGCAGAAAGAGATTGGTTTCGCCAGGACATGGGTCTATCTCAGATCGATATCTCCTATAGTCAAGAAATGTCAAAACTTTTCGTATGTCATCATCTATAGTTTAAAGTGTATCATATAATATATATATATATAATATCGCAAATATAGTATAAATCAATATAATATATATATATAATATTACATAATATATATCAATGTCATATTTGCAACGTGTTTCTATTTATAGATGATATACTCTTCTGCTATAGGCGTCTAATCCCAGACCCCAAGCTGAGGTTTGACCCGAGTTTTCCCACCGCCAATGTCCCCAAGCAAGCGACCGACCGGTCGGTGCGTTCTGTGGAATGGGTTTCGCAGGCGATGCTCGGTACAAGAAGGCGGTGCTCATCAAGAAAGATGATTATGTGAAGATGGAGGACGGATGCGGAACGGGTTGATGGAGGACGGGTTGATGGAGGTATCCGAGTCTGCTGGCCGATGCAAAGATATTTGGAGAGGGTCAGAGCGTTTGTGTCTAAAGCAAAAAGAAAGCAGGAAAAGGATCCAGAATCAAGAAGCATGTTCTTGACAAGTTGTGCTCACGTCACAGTTTAGAGTTGATATTGTTTGCTGCCGACATGGGGGATAGAGACTTGATTGGTGCTCAATTTTTTGGAGGAGCCTGCCTGGGACCATTATTTCTTTCCCAACTACACTTTCCTGAACCTCGTCAGCACCGATGGTGATGCCGGCTGTGCTAAGCTCCAGTGGTGTGGCGAGGAGCGGGCGACGGAATCGCCAACCACGCGTGGAGAGAGACCGGTATATACCTCCTGGCATTTTTACTACTGCTACTGCTACTGCTACGGCTACTGCTACTATACTACTACTACTACTACTACTACT